AATAAGGGGCAATGCAATAGACCGCCACCTCTTAGGCTTGAAGCTTCAGGCCATCGAGGACCTCGTGAGCATACCCGAACTGTTCATGGACACAGCGTATGCTGTTGCGATGCACTTCAACCTCTCAACCAGCCAGGTAGGACTCAGCTGAGCAAAGACAGAAGTGCTCTCAGTTTCTTTGCACTACCACATTTCTTTTCTTCTCCACATTTCTCCTTCATTCCCTTCTGTCAGAAACTCAGTTTGGGGACAGAAAACGTCTCCACATTCTTCATTCTCTTCTGTCAAAAACTCAGTTTGGGGACAGAAAACGTTAAGCCTGCTACCAATCCCATAAAGCTCCAGATCTGATCTTAGAGCTGCCACAGTCCCTCTCAACCCTGTAAAACACGAGCAGAAGCAAAGCTAAGATCACCAGAGGTGTTTGGTGTCTACCTGCGACTGGTATCAATTGCAGGCAGCTTCCAGAATGGTTTATGTTCACCTGCTGTGCTGTGAATCTTACCGAGGGAGCGCTGCGCGTGACTTACTACAAGCTTACCTTGGGGAGAAGTAGTATTCCTGTGCAAATGCGTAGGAAAGAACACTGATGGTAAATGGCAGGATGCAGTGTGGCGGTGGGTGCATCCGACTGAAAAGGCCCTCTCATGGCACAGCGGTTTCCACTGTCACAGAGCTGTCAGTGTCTGGTGGCTCCATTTCTGCGACTGGTTAGTTGTGTTTAATCACACTGTCTCCGCAGGTCCCAGCAAAGACAGACTGCGTGATGTGTTTTGGTCCCGTGGTTCCAGATGGCTACGGAATCTGTTACAACCCTATGGATGAACACATCAACTTTGCCATTTCGGCATTCAACAGCTGCGCCGACACAAACGCGGCCCGCATGGCGCATTATCTCGAGAAAGCGCTGCTAGACATGAGGATCTTGCTCCAGTCCACTCCCAAATCCAAACTGTAAGAGGCAAACATGATGCGAAGCCCCCAGCTGAAGGGGCTATCCCTCAATGCACTGAAGTTCCCAGTTCCTCAGAAAGTGCTTGAGGGGACAGCTTCCTCCGTCTGGAACCTGGGAGGGCATCTACGACGTGCTTTCAGCAAGAGGTTACAGAACAGTCATCCGCAGGTGTTAGTGGGGAGGAGAAACGCTGTCCTAAGCCGGAGCAGAACTGACTGGTCCCCTCCCATCAATGCAAAGCGCACCTTCCTGTCCTCAAAGAGGACTGAAACAGGGTTTTTATGGAACTTGCTGTAAAGGAATACAGAAAGCACAGTCCTTACCCAGTATCTAAAGACATTTGGTGGGGAAGGCAGCTCTTCTTCAGGAAAAGCAGGGAATGTTTACGAGATGATGAACTACCCTAAGACCAAGTCTTTTTGCTGGCTTAGTCTTCTGAAGAGCACAGCATCTTTCAAACTTGACTGCAGGTTTTTCCTGCTGCTCCAGCAGAACGTGGCCATTGAACTTCGGCAAGGGGAGAAAGAAGTTCTTATGTCAGAGCAGATCCAGGCTTGTTAAGAGTGCACTGCACTACTTATCCCAGGCACTCCGACCATGACATGACCTACAGGCCTGGGAACGTTCCCCTCATTTTAGGATGCTGGGATCTCCTTTCTGTTGCACTGACCCTATTAACTACTGAATCTACTTCGCTACAAACTAAGGTGGTCTTCTTGTTGTTGTTCTGGGCTTTTTGTTCAGCTCCCTGTTGCGATCCCAGCCACGGACCTTCGGGCTCAGCGTAAAGCTTTTTCCCCACAAAGCTGCTCCCTCGTGCAAGTTTTGTTAGCTCTGGCTTTACATACTGTAACGTCTGGAGACAGGAGAAGGGATTGCCTATGCATTTAGCAGGACACTGGCTTCATTGTACCTTGCTTTGGAATTGAGGAAAAGAAACAGATGCCGACCTTCTGTTTCTTACCCCGAAGGCCTGGTGTGCTTCAGGGCACACGTTAACCCAACGTGGGTTTATACCTTGCTCACAGAAACAAGGTATTTGTGCACAATGAGCTTAAGTTGTGGACAAGTAAGAACGTTTCTGATCAGGAACTCTAGAACATAGTTCCACTTCTGGCCCGCAGAGTTCCAATCTATTAGAGCCAAAGGAAAACAGCTGCAGAAGCATGCGTCTCTCACATCACTCTGCTTTACCACAGCAGAAAGTTTTGAAAAGCAGGAAGATGAGAACATGCAGCCAGGGTAGATGTTTGTCCACCGTGGCAGCAATTGTTCCTACAGCACCTTCCCTGCCACTCATGGAGTTTTTTCTTACTACAGTGTTACTCAGAGTTATGCCAGCTCTGTTCTGTGAGAGAATGATCTCATGGTAGTGTTTTCACCTTCAGCTGACAAACCTGAGACAGCAGATTATACAGAAACGTTAACATGCGATTGTAGCATAGGAATTTTTGTAAGCACCACTTCCAATGCATCTGCCAGGATCCAAGCTCCTGACTACACTTGCATTTAGTAAAAGCCTCTGGTAACGAGGAACTCTAGTGCTCTTTCTGCAGCAGGAACTGAATATTTCAATTGCACACCCTCCCAAGTTGTGGCTGCTGGGACTTCTCCGTGAACCAGAAGCATTGGGAGTCTGATGGCCTGTTGTGTTACAGGGAAATATTTGATCATGAATGCTATTTTTCCTCATCACAGAACAGCAAGGGACACGAGCAAAGTGCCTTGGTGAACATCTATGAAGAAATTTGCACTAAATCCATTTAAAATCAAAAATAAAAAAATCATTCTAACTTGCTTCTTGAAAGATACAAGCCAACACTACTGCATTTTTTTCCTAAAAGGATGTTATTTCAAAGCTTCTATCTTCTACCTAAATAAACCTTAAAAAGGAAAATTTAACTGAAACTCACCTGCACAGCCAGTGATTGTATGAACTGCCACTTTCACATCATCTACATGGATTTAGTTGATCTTTTAGGAGAATCCGGAATGGAGTGAGATAGTCTGAGAAAACCAGTAGGAGCACTACAAACCTGTGAGCACACATCCCTGCTCTTGCCTCCTCTGTATGAATTAGACTGAAAGCTGCAAGAGGATCCTCAGTATCACCGTGGTACAAGCCATTGTGTAAATACTGCAGAAAAGGCCAAACCCTGCTGGAGTAACATCTGGGTTCACGGAGCCTTTGACACTGGAAAAGAAATATTTCTGTTGCCCAAGTAAGCCTCCCCCCATACCGAATCAACCCCTGTTGCTAGGGGATGAGCTGTTTTCCCCCTCTGCAATGCCTTCAGCCGCTGATGCTACAGTATTGCCACTTCAGCATTTGAGACTGGCCCTTTCCTACTTCTGTCTCATCAAAGGGGAAGGCTCTCAAAGGAAAGTGCCTATTAAAGATTAAGCAGAAGCACGCTTTGCTGGGACTGTATCTCAGAAGATGGGATTGATCTATTCCGGATGTAAATCTGGATATCCCGCTCGCTTCAGCGGAGTACAGCAGACTGTCGCATTGGAAGAGATACAAGATTCATAAACCACTTAAGGCATCCTTAATGATATACAGAGCTGAAAATTCAGATGAATTAACCTGATTTTTGAAGTGCTTGAAAGGACACTAAAATCATTACAAGGTTTTTCCTTTAAAAAGTCTTTTCTTACTGTACAAGTTCTAAAACGTGATGTCTTTCTGATTCATACCTTCCTGATTTTTTCAGTGTCAACTTACTGTTTCTGCGTGTTTTATCAAGCGATGTCCATTGTCTTAAAGGCACATTAAGTACAAGAAACTTAAGTTCCAGAAAAAACCTACCCTTTGGAACAAATGTAATTTAAGAAATGCACAGACTGAAAATATTCAGATAACTTTTGGGGTATGAGTGCAATTCATGACGCAGCCCAGTAGTGTTGCATGCTTTGCTGGTTAGCTGTGGTAACTACTGTTTCGGTAGCATAATCCATGTCATGCAAAGTTTTGAAGTGTTCTTTGAATAAGCTGAAATGTAATAAACAGAGATGTGCTACAAAAAGGCTCAAATCTCCTTAGACATTGCAGAAGTTACATAACTACCCCCCTATGGGAAGATGTTTGTGTGGGGACAGCAAGAACAGCATTCTGCCACCTTCCTCTTATTGTCTTAATGTCTCCCATCCAGCCCCCTTGGATACAGGGGAGGACTAGAAAGCACTTGCTTGCAGAGCCACATATTCCAAAGGAAATACTCCTTTTCAGAAAACTAGCGGTAGGAGACTTCATACAGGTGTAGGATAGTAAGGCAGAGCTCACATCTTTTTACTGCACAGCACCTTTTAGTGGAGAAAATCCATGGGATCCCCAAGGAATATCCGCTATATCAAGTATTGCGAAGATTTCTGGGAAGGTACAGCAAAAGTAGGCAGAAGATGCAGATGACAAACAACTCGCAGAGAACGAAGGAGAGTTTATTGTAGTGTCTTACAAGAGCTCTTCTTCCTCTCCCTTACTCCTAAGAAGCTGGGATTGAAGGCAGCATGAAGTGGAACAGCTTGTTATGCTACTCTGCTCTCCGTGGGGAGATGAAACTTCTTCCCCATGCTCTTCTTCAGCAGGTGTTTCCACATGCAGTTTTTCCAAGCAGTCTGGCATAGCAGCTTAGGAAAGGCTAGGGAAGCACTAGCCGTTCTTGAAACAATCCACTCTTCCAGCCTTGTCCTTGGGGAAGAGAGCTGTGATCACCCTTCTGGCTTTGTAAGTTAACGTACAAGAGAGAGGGAAGGAAAACAAATGGTTTTGCAAGACATAAGTAATTATCAGCATGTCATGGGGCTTATCTGATGTCCCATCTCAGTTGAACGTAGCTGTTCTAAGTCAGATCAAATGTCCTTGTGAAGGCTGCAAGACACCTCTTTATGCTGATGCACCCTCAAAGCAGATCCAGTGCTCGGGTCCTTCAGATGTTAACAGGATTGCTCGCCTTATACAAGTACTAAACAGTTCTTAAAAAAAAAAAATATATATATTTGTTCTAACAACTGAAAAGAGGTGACTACCCATGGCTACTTAAACTCAGAAATTTAAACCGCCTTCGTTCCCAGTCCCCTGGTCAGGATCGCTGCTGTTGGACTTTGGCTGTCCAACGCTTCCGCAGCAGCTCCCACTGCACACGAACACAAACACTCCTATGGCAACAGGCACAGATGGAAACTTAGAGTGAACAGAAACACATCTCACTTCAAGCAGCTTTGTAATGCAGGAGTCTGATTAAAGTGGAGATAGTAAAACAGGCAGCAAGACTGAGATGGGACAGTCATTTTACCTCTGCTGACATGACTGCATCGAAGGCACACCGATGACCTTTGAGCCAGTTCAGAAACTGTCCTTTATCTGTGAAAGTTCAAGTCAGTTGTGCTTTGAATAAATACTTTGCTGTAGTTACACCTGAACTGCTGCAATATATACGAGAAATAGAGAAAGTGTCCATGCACAGCCCTGAAGCACTCGGAGCATAGCCCTTGCCAGGTTAACCCGTGGGTCGCGGAAGTTGTAGGCATCACCAGCACACACAGATGGCAGGCACACTCCCACAGGGACACAGCACCCAGAGAGCCGACTGGCCCGACGCAGGGTCAGAATGGAAGAAGGATGGAAAGCAGAACTCGCTTGTAGGAGTTGGGCATTCGAGGTTACTAGTGCAGAACCCCTACCAAGCCACGGTAGTAACTGGGAGGAGTGTCTGCTAGGACAAGCTCGCTATGCGAGTTCACAGCTGGATTCTAACAGGGCTTTTCAAAAGTAATTCAGACAGTAACTGAGCTACTTATTAGTCACTTGCCTTGTTAGTCATTTACAGTCGTTGCTTTGTTCGTTCTTAAAAATCCTTCCCTTAAGCTCTAACAGGAAAAAAAGTAAATCCAGTGCTTATGGCAGACTAGCAACTGAATTTTGTAAGGCTTGGGCTGACTTTCTGGAGCACAGCTTAGAACCAGCGGGCTTTCCAGTGCCATCAGTAGCACGCTCAGTGCGACAGAAGCTGCACAGATCTCAGCAACCCTGAGGTAATAAAATATAAGGGAAGAGATGGAATAAACTGAGATATGAATGATAATCCCGCCACCTAGAAGACATTCTGAGAAAGACACTCTTGCTAATTACACAACAGGAGCAGCAGTGGAAAAAAAAATAGTGTATTTCAGTTTTTCCTTTGTTTTACACACACACTCCCCTTAATGGTATCCGTGCAGGCTTCCCTGCAGAACCGTCACTAGTGTTAAAAATCAGATCTTTAGTCTTTCTTTCCATCTGTACAAAGTGCAGTTGGAATGGATTTTGATCTCCCAAAGTGGTTGCAGAAAGGAAAGGAAGCCTTCCTCCCCCTTCTGCCTCGGTCACCCCATCCTAGTTCCCCTCCCTCCTAAGAAGTTTTCAAAAATTAAAAGCTCCAATTAAGCATGATCAACTGGAGATTAGTTTTGTCATCTTCTTCCAAAAAGAAAAACCCAAACGAAAAAGCAAAACCCAAACACACAGTCAGTGCCTCACCCACCCCAAAAACAATAGGTCCATTTAAAAAAATAAATAAATAATGTGTATATTTCATGCTGAAAAAAAAAAAGTCACAGAAAGGATTCATTTTTGGTTCTCCCTCCCCCGAACATGACACCAGGCATTTTCTCCCCCCCTCCCCTGACGTAGACACGATGGTACATTCCAACCGGCAATGTGCATCAGTGTTGAAAATGAGTTTCTACTCCTGCACGGTTCCACATGCATCAGGGAGCATCCAGCTAGCTGCTAAAGCAGAGCAAAGGCTTTCAGGTTTGGGGTATGGTCCCTGCCTGTTCCTTTGGTCCGTCCGTTAAAAGGCTCCTTGCTGCTCCCAGGTCTCTGCTCTTGTCTGTCTCCGTTAAAACGTGCACTCTGGTCCCCG